TGGAATGCTCTACCTGACTCCATTGTTACAGCCTCAACCCCCTCATAGCTTCAACCTCAAACTGCCTACTGTGGATTTCACCCAGTGGTGGGATACAAAATTTTTTACTATCAGTTCTGTGGGTGTGACTTGGTGGGCGTGGCATGGCTTGGTGAACATGGCAGGGGAAGGTTACTGCAAAATCCCATTCCCATTAACCTGCTTTCCAGCTCCGTTCTCCTGTGCAGGGCAACAAAAGAAAGACCCAGCTGATCAGCTGGGACTCGGGAGACAGAGGATAGATGGGGGTGGGGACAATAAGAGGTGCTATTTGCTGGTTCTCCGAACTACTCAAAATTTCTGCTACTGGTTCTCCAGAACTGGTCAGAACCTGCTGAATACCACCTCTGACCTCACCCCATTCCTAAGAGGTCCTTAAAGGGGGAGTGCATAAGCACACTGGTGTGCCTACCATCCCTATTGTCTCCATTTATCTGTATTTACTTCCTTCATTCATGTTTATATTCGTTCCTATACTTGTTTTCTTGCACATGTTTGACAAGCAAACAAACAAATAAATAAAACACAGCCTTGGTGTTGTAGGGTCCTTCCTTTGTGCCCTTGTGAGCTTTTTTTGTTGTTGTTGACATTTCTTTACCAAACTAGGTAACCTCATCAGTGCTAGTAGAGAGTGGGGCAAACCACTAATATCTAAAATGAGAGCAAACCGCACATTAAGTGAAAGTATTGTGAACTCTGATTTCCCTCTTAGTTTTAAGGTCAGCAGAGGTATATCTACCTCGTCCAAGAAAGTCTGGTGAATGTTACCACTATTTCTATCTCAATGTTGTTAAGTTTACCTTCTTCAACCTGGTCATCTTCAAATGTGTTGGACTGCAGCTCCCACAATTCCTAGCAAGTATAGAATTGGGTGCACTAATTTTCAGGAGAAGGTTTAAACTTCAGCTTGAGGGTTTGGGAATCAGTCTTCTGACTTTCATCCATTTCTCCCAGCATGTGGTGTAGATGATCTATGGTACTTTAACTTCATACCTGAACTACCTAAATGTTGAGCCAGGGATCTTTGAAAGATCTCTGTGGATTACCTAGTTAACATATTAGGTTAACAGAAGCATCTTATAACAGCAGCTACCTTTCAAGGCCCAGGCTAACTTAGAGACAATAAGCTATTTTAGATATATCTGCATTTCATATTTGGTCCTTGGGTGGTGATTGTCCATCTCAAATCTTTGAAACTCAATAACGTATTGATATATTTTTGAATTGTAGTGCTGAGAGTCCCCTGGACTACGAGGAGATCGAACCAGTCAATCCCAAAGGAAATTAACTGTGATTGCTTTTTGGAAGAACAGACACTGAAGCTGAAGCTCAAATATTTTGGCCACCTAATGAGAAGAGAGGATTCTGGAAGAGACTCTGAAGTTGGGAAAAATTGAAGGCAAAAGAAGGGGATCACAGAGGATTAGAAGGTTAGATGGTGTCATTGACATAACGAATATGAATTTGGGTAGACTCCAGGAGACAATGGAAGATAGGGAGGACTAGCATGCTATGGCCCATGGGGTCACAAAGAGTCAACGCAACTTAGTGACTGAACAACAACAACCCATCAGTGCATAACAGGAACACCACACCAGTGGTAGGATTCAAATTTTTTTACTATCGGTTCTGTGGGAGTGGCTTGGTGGGCGTGGCAGGGGAAGGATATGGTAAACTCTCCAGTCAGAGGTGGGATTTGCCAGTTCTCCAAACAACTCAAAATTTCCGCTACCGGTTCTCCAGAACTGGTCAGAGCCTGCTGAATACCACGTCTGTACCACACCACACAATACAATACCCTCTTAATCAGAAGAGATCTCTATGAAACTTCATGCAACTTACTTCTGATTAGCACAGCTTCACAATGATAATGATTGTACTGCTAATGTACTTCTACTTTAATGTGAAAAACTGAATAAAATTTGTAAAAAAAAAAAAAAGATAACGATTGTACTGCTAAGTAATAAAATATTGGCTCAATTTCTATGCATGACTATTTAACGTAGTAGCTAAATCTGTCTTTTGTTTTCCTGGTGTTTCTCCTTTTTGGGGGGAGAAAAGGCTTCTGTTTTTCTGCTTCATTTTTAGCATGCCTTTTAATTTCTTTCAAATGCCTCATGATTATTTTTAACATTTTATCACTGCTAATGGGGTTTGGGGCAGTGGTGGTATTCGACTGGTTCGGACCGGTTCTGGTGAGCCAGTAGCAGCGATGAGCAGTGGAGATCGAACCAATTCTCTCTGCCACCCTGTGTTGGGCCTACCTGCCTGCCCAGGCTCCCATACTCACTTTTACCTGCAGAATTTGAAGCGCAGCTGCTTTGCGTGACACAAAATAGCGCCGCGCAGCAGCTGCTAAAGTGACCGGGATTGTTCAGGCTTGCAGGAGGTGAATTAGAATGCCTCTGCGCCTGTGCAAAGTGCACATTTGGTGCACACGTGCATGCAAAGTGTGTGCATGTGTGCAAAGTGCGCCCATGAAGCCACGCCTACCGAACCAGTGGCAACAATATTTGAATCCCACCACTGGAGAGGGTGTTCATTTTTGCTTCCTCTCCAGCAGTTCCCTTAGCTGCTCTATATCGGATCTGGAAAAATTTCTCTGGAAAAGTTCCATCTTAATGTTTTGCATCCCAAGAGGAAATATTCGGTGGGGTTTCTCCGGTGAAACTTTTTCAGAGATGGAAAAAAAAAGCTAACACTGAATAGAACAGAATAGAATAGAATAGAATTCTTATTCCGAATAGAGAATAGAATAGAACAGAACAGAATAGAACAGAACAGAACAGAATATGGGACTAGAATATGGGACTAGAATAGAATAGAATAGAATAGAATAGAATAGAATAGAATAGAATAGAATAGAATAGAATAGAATAACAAAACAGGAAGAGAACAGAACAGAACAAAATAGAATAGAATATGGGAATAGAACAGAACAGAATAGAATAGAAAATAGAATAGAATAGAATAGAATAGAATAGAATAGAATAGAATAGAA